TTTTTGGAATGTTCTACTTTTGAATATACTCTAGTAGGAACATTCCATTTTTTAAATGTATTAAATTAAATTAAAATGTATTAAAAAAAATGTAATTATTTTTAAATTGTAGCCTGGAAAAAAACTTTAAATAAGGCCAAAAACCAGCAGTTTGCTTAAAAACCTCTATGCTGTAAGTGAAAGTGTTTTGTTTTGGCTGAGTTGATTCACAAAATTGTGGTAAAAGTTAAACATAAAATATATCATTATGAATTATATAAAAATAAAAATTTCGAATCTTATTAAGGGTGGGCATCCTGTTACTTAGGCTAAGAAATTACAAATATTAAAATATGCATTTTGTAAACAATATAGTGAAAATTTTTACACCTTTTAGTTTTCTTACAAATTCTTAAAAAGTTTAGAAAATTATTTTCATATTTCCTTACTTTCATGACTTTGAAATTTAAGATATTTTATGTGGAGGGAAACATTTTTAAATAATCAATTTTATTAAATTTTGTTAAGTAATGAGTTAGAAAAGCAATTAAATGCTATGGAATAGCATTTGTATTGTTTGATAGCTTTATTTTCACGCTCTTTTGTACATATAACAATTTTTCTTTTAATGTCATAATGCCAACATAAAGGTATTTTAAACATTGAAAAGAATTTAAATTAATTTCTCATTATTGACAAAATTTAATATAATATAATAATATATTTAAATGTTCAGAAAATTAGAGTATATTTTAATGCTAATCGTTATATTTCCTGTCTAGATAATATAAAAAGATGAAATATTCTAGCATCAGTGAATTTTCATAATCTTCATGTATTTTGAGTCTAGTAAAATTAAACAGGACTGCAATTATTATTACCAGAATGAAAATTATATTGAACATATTGAATGATTTTCATGACAAGTCATTCAACATATGTAAAATCCCCGTGAATCTTACATTAGGAGTGCCTGAGAAGTGAATGGACACGATACTTAGAACATTACACATTTATTTTACATATATCATGTATCTACGGAACAGGGCTTAGCAATGACCCAAGAAAAAGCCGCACTGCCTTCTGTTACAGAGTTTATATAGCGGGCGTCTCGCCCTCAGGCGCTGCGCTTGATGCGCCCTTAACATGTCGTGGTAAGACACGACATGACAACATATAATTAAAGTAAGAAATGCCAGAAATTTAACTGGTCTGGAAGCAAATAAAAACAATAAATGGTTAATGCTTAAAGCACTAAAGTTAATTCTGATAATGATTGTTATCATTTGCATGTTGAGACATGATAAAGCAAGAATTAGCTTAAAATATATAATGTTTAGGTAAGAATATTAATAATAATAATAAAACTCTGATTACAATAGGTGAAGTTTTGTAAAAGCATTTTAACTTATATTTTACTAATTCTAATGATTGTGCTAATATTAGCATGTTAATTTTGATAACATTAAACAACTGATATCTATGATTACAATAAGTGGAGTCTCCTTACACAATAGACTTCACTTATTGTAATCACATTTATTGTAAATATTTTAATGTTTTTTGAACAAATATAAACTGTTATATTCATGTCAAAAAAATTGGTGAAATTAAGCATGAAATTAATGGTAATAAAATGATTAATTGCTGAGGCAAATCATTCAGTTGTTACTAATAAAAATCACATTCCTGTGATCTAAAGAATATTATATGCAATATTTTCATATTAAAAATAATTTTTAAATTTTATAATTATTATATCAATACAATAGTAAATTTTATAATTAAAATTACTAATTAGGTACAAAATGATCAATGTCAAACTGTAGCTGAAGCAAAGAAATATAAATGGCCACCATCAACAGAAGAAGGCGAATGGAAAATAATGACAGTAAGTTTTTAAATTAATGTTTCAATTTTCAATTAAAATTTCCATGCTTTAAAATAAATTCAAAACTTGATTTACATTGTCTTAAGATTATATAAATTTATATAACTCTAATGTATAATAATAATATGAATATAATTCATGTATATTTATATTCACAAGTTTAGTATTGAGCACTTTTTGATATAAAACTACTGCTTAATTAACAATTGTCTTTATTCAATCATAATACATTCAACTAGGGTGATGACGATGACCAAACTTAACTTAGACAAAGACAAGTAAGTTCATACTTACTTGTCTTTGTTCGTATGCCCTCATATGTTATATTGTGACAAGGAAGGTTACAACAACAAGCAACAATATGTCATTCTTTAAATAGTTTATTACTAAGGTTTTACTATATATATAATAAGTTGAACTGTATTAACATTAAGTTGCTTTAACTCAAAACTATCTACAGGTTTTGGATATAGTATTTTTTTATTTGGATATAGTATCTACAGGTATTTTTTTACTTCTTACTTCTTAGAATTTGACTTAAATTAACAAGGTTTTACTGTAATGTTATTTAGTTTTTAAATTAAAGTTAATTTTTTTTTAAAGAAAAATTGGCATATTAAATGAATTTCTTGAGTGATTGATTGTTTCTCTTGCTTTGAAAAGGATATTTAATTGTAGAATTTTGATTTCATATTTTTATTATTATTATAGCATAACTTAATGAGATATTTAATTAAAATGATATTTAAATGACGCAACAATTTAGCAACTGAATATCTACATATTGTGTCATCCTTGTATATATCGTCGGTCTCTGTTGTCGTCATGTAAAAAAAAATTGTTTTCTTTTGCTTATGCTTTATTTTTTTTGTGTATGTATATATATTTTTTGTATACCGTCAATGTTATTATTGTAATTGTAAAAAAAAGGAATTTATTTTTGGTTTTTTTTTTGTGTGCGGTGTTTTGGGCATTTTTTTGTGTGGCAGCACTGTATCGGCGGTGGGGGTTATATATGGTGTGCGGGACTGGCAACACAGATTCTGGTTTCTGGTGTTCAAAGAAGAAAGTATGTCTTTCAGGAGTGCTGTATGAAGACTCTTTGTGTGAACCGTCACGTGCTAAGCCCATAACGACTTCATGTACTGTGATCTTGTATATAACTTTTGTACATAAAGATAGTTTTAATCATGTATCTTGCTCGCCTCCTCCTTTTGTGGTAACCAAATTCATTAATTCCTGCGAATATTAACTCCATGGATATTCGCAGATCCCACAATATAATAATATGTAATTATGTATCTACATATAATGATATGCTTACATATACAGAAACCAAAACATTTGTCAAGAAATTATGTGATATTTTTGTTGTTAAAAAATAAATTCAGTTTTTTATAATAAAATGTTTTTGAAGATAGTAGTATTTTTAAGCATTTAATATATTTCAATATTCTTTAAAAAATGTTTTAAAACATTTTTCTTTGATATTAGATTTTAGATTGAAAGTTGTGAACAAGAAATTTTATATGAAAATTTGTTACATAATGTAAGTTTAAAGATTAATGAGTTGTAGCATGTAAATGTATGAACGAAATTATGCAAAATTTTCTTTTAGAAAGCAATATTTAATTTGTCTATGTATTGATATTTCACTAAGTATATGTTCAAGACTATTTTTTTTTTATAGGAATCAAATTATGTATTATGTGAAAACTATTTTCGCTAGCAATAATTTTAATCTTTAATTCAGTTATATTGCAGTATACTAAAGTAATAACTTTTTACATTTAATACAGCTGGAGTTATGTTTCAGCCAAAATACACTGGTATGCTGTACCAGCAGATAGCATAAAAAGTATTGATAGCCATTATGTAGTACTAGCAGTTGCTTAGTAAGAAAAACTTTTGTTCTGGTGAAAAGACTAGTGATTGGCATGATAAAAAATGAACAAAACAAACCAAGAATTGGTTTGTTTTGTTCATTTGGAGCTAACATAATTGGAGCTAACATAAAAAGCATTTGGAGCCAATTGGAGCTAACATAAAAAGCTAATGGGATAGAGATTCTGCCCTTTTATTAGAGGATATCTTTCAACAAATGGACAATATTGTCTGGTGACATAAATTGTGAAGAAAGAAGATTTACAAAGATAATGATATTTTGAAAGGGAATTACCCCTTTAAAGGGAAAAAATGTGGTTACTAAAATTGGATCATTTAGCAATTGACACTAAATCTGAAGCAAGAAATAGGAGAGTACAGATGGAGATACACAAAAAACATGGAAAATGCTAAAATATAAATATATATGTCTATAAAGAAAAAATAAATCATTACTGGTATTAAATACTATTTTTTAGTGACTGTTAAATTTTTTCTAAAACAGAATTTTATTTTTAGTCACTATGTGTTCCAGCAATAATTTTTTTCCAAAGAATACTGAATACACTCATCTAAGTGCATTGACTACAAATTTTAACTTGCAAGATTAATTACAAAACAAAACAAAAATGTCTAAAAATTGCTTCTTTGTATTTTCTCTCTCTCTTTTTTTCTGTTAATAGCAAAAGAACATAATTTAATTCTGTAAAAAAATACTAAAAGGCTTATTTTTATTTTAAAAGTTTTAGATATCATATTGTACTGTACATAGGCTACTTGGATGTTTTGCCTACATGTCTTTTATTGGTCATAGAAAAAAATGAGTCTTTCACCTATCAAAACAGCATGAAAAATGGGCAGAGTATAGTCAAAATCAAGTTCCTGTTTCTGGTACTTCCTCAGCAAGCAGTGTGAAAATACCAGGAAATGGCAGTGTGGATAAAAACTGAATATTGGACAATTATCTGTTACAAATTTTTACATAATCTCAGTAAAGACGAGTGTTTTTCAGAAATGTCTTCTGTTTTGGGAAACATTGTCTTTCCTTGAAGACTAAGACACAATGGTATAAACAGTTTAAAAGCAGTAATTTCAGTGTGGAGGACAACCCATACTCCGGTAGATCAACAAAAGCAGTGACATCAGAAAATATAGCTGCTATAGAGAAACTTCTCATAGAAGACAGGTGTGAGGGACGAACAAACCCACAATAAAGTGTTATTTTAAATTTTAATTATTGGAAACTTTAATCGGTTAAATTCGAATGTTTTATCGAGTTAGGCTAAAAGCCATAAAAATTATTTCCCACGGGGTTTGTTCCTTGTTGAGTCAGATCAAGTTAGTCAGGGATGTGTCACCAGGAACTTTGAATGGAAAAGACATATTGGACGGGCGACCGTTAAAGGCCATCACCTGACCTCATGGAAAAAACCCAAGAGGAATGAAAAAGGGAAAAAGAAAAACGACCCCGAAGTCAGTCGTCATCCGAAGTCCCTCTACAAAAGTCGTCATCCGAAGTCCCTCTACAAAAGTCGTCATCCGAGGATTAAAACCGTGATCCATGATTCAAACCGTGCCCAGGATTAAAACCGCAACCCAGGATAAAACCCGTGCATCAAAATTCCGAAATAACACCTTGACAGAAGTAACACCGTGTCTCCTTAAGAATCTCATCCCACTTCCGTGCTTCCACACCTCCGAGATCCAATTAACGGACAAGAACTAGTGGAAAGACCATTTCAGAGGCGTCAAGAGTGTCATCATACTACAGATCTGCGACCTAGGAAAAAGAAAGGTATTTATCAACCCGCGATTCGGTTGTAAACTCTCTCTCTCGAACGGAATAGTATAATTAAGTCCGCTAATATGCCGATATCTCTGTATTTTCTTTGTTTATTATTAAAATTGATTTTTTGTTAGAAAATATGGAGTCCGAGTGAGTCACTTCCTCGTCTCTCTCCTCACCTCTACTCCGAATCCAAGCGCTCACACGCTACCGCTCGCAAATCTCGTGACATAAAGTCGCGATTTCCGAGTCCCCTAGAGACTCGGTGGTGTCATCCTGACAGGGCGCCGAAGAGGTGCCGACCCTACGGTCACACAGGCAAATCACCTATCAGCAGATTCAGGAATTATTGAATATTAGTGCATCAACTGTTCATGACATTCTGTACAAGCACATAGGATTAAGAAAGGTTTGTTTGGTTTGGGTGTACCATTCACTGACAGGAGCAGAGGCACAACAGGGTAGAATGGTGTAAAAAAATGATTAAACGGTTTGAATCTGGGACATCCAAGGATGTTAGCAGCATTATAACAGGTGATGAGACCTGGCTGTATTGTTATGATGTGCCAACAAAATTTCAGAGCAAAGTTTGGCTCTTTGAAGATGAAATAACTCCAATGGAAGTCTGAAAATTGCATCTAATAAAGAAATGAACAATTCCTGCATTCTTTGCAAAACACAGTATTGTGGAGAGGGTCATACTAGAAAAACAGCATACAGTCACTAGTTCCTGGTACTCTCAAACTTGTTTGCCAAAAGTCATTCAACAACTGAGGAACATCCAACCAAGATCCTTGCTTGACATGGCTCTTACATCACAATAACATTCCAGCATACAAGTCAAAGGATACACCTATTTGATAAAGTCTGGACTAACTGTTTTGGATCACTCTCCATACAGTCCAGATCTTGCTCCCTGTGACTTTAGCTTATTTCAAAAAGTCGAAAAACATTTCAAAGGAAGGAGATTTTTCAGTGACAATGAGCTTCTGGCAATGTGGGATCAAGAGTGTGCTGATCTTCCAGAAGAAAAGTGGGAGGCTTGGTTTGATGACTGGTTTCATCATATGGCAAGATGCATTGAGTGTGATGGAGAGTATTTTGAAAGACACTAAAAAGTAAATCTGGAGGACAAAACTTTCCAAGCAACCTATGTAAGTTTAAGTATGGGAGCAATTCCAATTACACATTGTTATAATAAACATAATAATTTTGAATATATTTTTTAGTGTATAATACTGTCTGCCATTTTTAATTGAAATTTTGAATATATGTTTGAAATAAAAGAGAATTAGTTTGTTAATTATTGTATTTTCATAAAATTTAGAATCTTGCACTTAATATTCCTAGTGTAAATCAACAAAATTTACCATCATTGTTTCCCTCTGTATCTGCAAAATTTTCTTTATTTTTCTCTGTAGTTTTGTTAATATAAATGTATGTGCATATGCAATCATAATATATAAAGCACTTATGTTAAATAAAAATATAGTTGAAAGATTCCAAATCAAATATAGATGATGAAAGATTTCCTAAAGAAGTCCTGAGATTGAAACTATGTCATTTTACAGTTAATATAATTTTTCCTTTCTTCAATATTTTTTTTCTGATATTAATAAAAATTAATTATTTTTTCTACTGTTAATTGATATTGTTACATTAAGGAAATGGAACTGATTAGAAACCAAGAAGTTATTTGATTTTTCTATTAAGTTAAATAAGTATAGTAATTCTCCATTGTTTTATATTTCAGATGCAGCTAAAAGCTGGATTGAATATTTTATATTGGAAAACAATAGGCATGAGTCTTGGTGACAATGGAAGGAAACCTAAACCTGTTAGAATTAAGAGCATTGAAATTACAGGTTAGAAATTTTTAATATAGGCCTCTATGTATATATATAAAACATCCTAAACTGACTGACTTACTCACTCACTAATATGGATTGTTTGTATAGAAGAAAACCATTCACAGAAAAATAAAATGGTACAATCAAAGGAGATATTGAGTATAGTACTTTACAGAAAAATCTAAAAGTTTTAAAATGTAAAATATTTTATGTCTGTGAGACATTAAAAAACCTATAATGTACAGTCGACCCCCCCTATTAGATATAGATACGTTCCAATTTATTAGGAATCCGATTTCTTACAAGTCGTTCCAATCACAGCCCGACACGTGTCAAGTTTACGGACTACGGCTGATTGAAAGATTTTCTTCCATAAAATTAATCGATTCTACACTAATCCGACTCAACATTTCCAAAATACGTATATTTTTTCGTAGTTTTATAGGAATCGTAATTATAGGGACCGTAATTATAGGGGGGTCGACTGTATATAGAAAACTCTTAGTATGTGTTAATATCAATTTTAAATATCATTTGTATGTTTCTGAATAGTTTATAATTATTAATTTGTTTCCATTGTTTAAATTGTATATTTTCTTTAGTTTTATCATACTTTTTTAAACTGTTTGATGAGCATCTGCATAAACATACACGATACATGTGGTGGCACTACAGAGTAAGCACATGTATATACATTCTTCAAGTTTGTGTCATTGTAGTATGCTCATGTATGTACAGATAGATGTGAAATGTTATAGACAGGGAATTTATTGAAAGATCTAGAAAATTTTTTCCACCTGACTTTGTAAGTTTTGCAAGATTTAGCTTAGAATTTTCTAGCATAAAGACAAACATTGCAACTACAAATCATTCACACTTCTCTCCTGAATAATTGAAGTTTTTCAACACAATTGAATTGGAAGAAGAAGATATTTTCTAGTTTATTAAAAAGTATGAATTAGAATGAGATATTAATTTTTTTTTTGTAAATATTACATTTTTAAAAAAGGAGAGGCTCCGTATTACATTACCAGTGGCTCTCTCTCCTCTGGGAGGAAAAGGAGCCACTGGTAAATCCACTTATCAAAGGATTAATGAAAACTTATTATCGTATGTTTGAATAACTGTAAGAATATATAAAATTATCCTAGTTTACAAAGAATTGTTATAAATTACAAATAATTATAGTTTGTTGTGATGCCATGTGAAACACTCAGGATGAACTGTAAATGATGAAGGAAAGAGTTCCTAATGTGATAATAAATTTAAATGTAGTCTATCTTTGACATAATATAAATTTTATATAAGGTTTACTTTATTTTTATTAAATTATTAAATTTATTTTAATAAATAGATATTTTAATGTTTTTAAAGCTACATTAGTTTTATTTGTATATTAATAAATTTCATAAAAACCTGTTTTTTAGTTAGTATATAATATTGAAAAAATTATTTTTTTTCTTTAGTTTTTTATTAAAAAATTGATAATAAAACAAATTGTTTTTGACAAGAAATCAGAAAATTTTGAGTTCTTATTATGTTTATAAATTTTATTTTGTACACATTATGCATACACATAATCAACATTTCTTTTTATTATTAAATCTTTCAATATTTTAAACATCAAAAAATTTTTTAAGTGAGCAGATTATTTTGTTTTATGGAGAAATCAAAGTACATAACTGAAATTACATTTAGCAAACTGAATTATTTATGTTTTGTAAAATATTGAAATGATTTCCACTGCCATGGCTCTCAGTCAATCAATCAGATGAGGCCACAGCATAACTTTAAAAAAAAAAAATAACTGATTGAAAAACTTTTTTACCACTCTGAAGAATTCTTGGGGTTTTTGATCCAACCAAATTCATTCCCAGATCCCCATAATGGTAAGATGACATTTTAACCACTTGACAATTGGCTGTTATGGAAAAAATATGCTTGTGGAACAATTCTGTTCTACAACTTTAAAAGAACAATATTCTTCATTTTGTGTTTTATGTTTATTTTTTTTTAATTTAATTAATTTTATTTGGCCAGTTTTCTTAGTTAATAAATTAGTATTTTATCTGTGACAATTAATTAAACAACTGTAGCAACTAATTCATCTCAAACTGATTTTTCAGTGAAAAGTTTTAAAACAAAAGTAAATTAAAATAAGAAGTATAATAATAAAAAAATAAAAATAAATTTACATATAAAATGAAATTTTTAATAAGAAATATTAAGAATTTTTAAATGGATATAGTATTGTAGCCTTATAAGTAAAACACAGAAATTTTATTTTTCAGACAGAAGATTAAGAAAGTTATGGACAATATCTTATTTGTTCCATTATATATTCAAAATAATAAAATACGTTTTAAATTCAAAAATATTTGAAATTATAAAAATTATTCTGTCAGATATTTAATTGAATTAATATTTTCTGACACAAAGACATGGAAATATATAAGAATAAAATTTATTACTTTTACTGATTTCTTCTTTAAACTAACTACTAAGAATTGTGTAGAAAGTTATTCTATTGTTATTTCTATTGAAATTTGCATGTATATTAGCTATTTGATCTGTCAAATTTGAGTTTATAAATTTTAATTTGAATTACCATGTTTACTTGAATAATCCATGCATGTTTTTTTCAAAAATTTGTGACAAAAAGTTGTAGTGCACAGTTTATTTAAAACAAATTTGGTAGTGCAACCTGCAAAGTCCAGATGACTGCTTAATAAAATGACTACCTATAGTTGATAGTTATGAGCAATATTATTAAACATTTTTGTGTGACTAATTTTGTGAAAATAAAGATCAATAAAGTAAGTTAAATATACAACTGAGACTGACAGTAAATAATCTTTGTCTTTATTACTTCTTAGTTTAAGTTATTGGTCTATTAACAGTTTTTCTCGTTTGATTTGAATTAAACAGCATAGTGTTACTTTCATTACTAAATAGTAAGTTAATTCATTATAAATACATTACTACAAATTGCAGATAATTTATCTTTATTACACTACACTGCAAAACACTGGGATCTGTAAAATACTGCACTCCAACGGTTATAGGTTCTTGGAGTGCAGTATTTATCTTTATTAGATATACAAATACTTTATTATTATTATTATTATTATTATTATTTTTTTTTGGTAGTTTTATTTTTTAATACTACTTATACTTGTAAACTGAATGCTACCATATTGAATGCTACAAAACAATGAGAGGGAAGATTACTATTGTGTTAAAACCACCAATTTGTAAAATTTGTAAACATGTAGTAAATTAAATTGAACTAGTTTTTCTTTTTTTAAGTCAGTATCTTAAAAAATGGGATATACAGATTACTAAGAGCATGGATTATGTGATTAAATATGGCATTTCATAAATCTTGGTTATATTTGTAAAATGACATGTTATTTTAATTATTTTAAAATTTAAATACAGGTGTAGCATATACATCTGAATGTTCTCCATGTGAGCCTGGAACATACAGTAGTGAAGGTTCAAAGCTTTGTACCCCATGTGCAGAAAATACTTATTCTGGAAAGGGTGCTTCTTCATGCATTGCTTGCAACAATGCTACTCAGTATGCACGTAAGTAAAAAGTTATATAAGTATAAAAAGTTAGACTTAAGTTTGTAAAATTTTTTAAAGTGCATATGAAAGCTAATTTTTTAGTTTATTATTAATAATAATTACTTTCCTTTACATTTTCAAAAATAAAAATGCTGTATTCAATACAGTAGAGCGTTGATTTTCCGAAAGTCAATCATCCGAAACGTCAATCATCCGAAAGAATTCCAGTCGGCAAATTTAAATTTTTGCCAGTGCTGTGGCGCTTCAATCTTTGGCTATGTCTTGGGCTACTCAAATATTTTACGTTTTTGATACTAAATTAACATCTGAAGTATAATTTTTTATTATTTTTATATTTTTCAATATATTTATTTTGTTTTTACAAAATAAAAAAATAATTTTTAACGATACAATAGTCTTTGTTAGGCTTAACATCGACGAAAATTCAACGCAAAGCGACACGCAACGGATAAAAATTTCGACATCGGATACGTTAAACTATTTTTTCGTACGTAAATCAGTTATCCAAAATATCAGTTATCCGGACAATCTCAGTCCCCAATTGATTCGGAAAATCAACACTCTACTGTAGTAGTATGACCTTGATTCATGAGTTCTTGATACAATGAGCCACTTCATTTTATCCTCCTCTTAAATTTATGAGAATTATTTGAATATTTTGTGATAATCAAAAGAAATTGTTTCTGTTGAATTAAAACGTTTGTAACTATATTTTATTTATTTTACATAAAATTCTCATCAATGATGTCTTTCTGTGTATATGTATTCTTGTAATATACAGTATATTCTCATTTTTGATATTAACATATAATAAATAATTTATACTGTTTTGGAATATTATTTAAATCATTTTATATATTACTTTTCCTTTTATTAAAATTAAAGTTGTCATATTTAAGTTAAATTATTTTATTAAAATATTTTTTAAACAGCAAAAGGATCTGCATATTGCTTAAATCAACCACCATGTACAGAACAAGATTTTTATGAAATACGTTCTCCCTGTGACGAAAATAAAGAAACATCTTTAATATATAAATGGGTTGAACCTAAATTATGTCGTACTGATATTGATGGAGCTGTTTCTTTATCACCATCTGGGAAAAAATTAAAATGTCCTCCATGCAGCCCAGGAATGGAATATGTCAACAAATCAGGATGTACATTTTGTCCTAAAGACCATTATTCTAATGGTTCAGTTCGTAAGTTATTTTATTTTTTATCATTATTTTTTAATAATATAAAATGAACGAATGAATTATACAATCATAATAATATATTTTTTAAAATGTTGATCCAAATGTTGTGATATTTATTTTTACAACATATAATAGTGTAGGATATATGTACAGTACATCTAATATATATGACTGTATACAAGGAAAGGACAAAATAGCCTAAGCAGTCTTCTTGTTGATTAGTTTGCTGGATGAATAGAGGACTAGTTGTGCTACAAGAGTAACTGATCAAATATCCAACAAACAAGGAAGCTGACTGCTTTAATATCTTGAACACATGGTCATCAACAAATATTACTTCTAGAAAGCTTTGCATTTACTTGTGTTTTTATTCATGAAGAATGCGTCACTTGTCTAGGGAATAATTTCTTACGTACATATCCACACACACACACACACACACACACAGACACACACATTTTTTTTTGCAGATAATTAAAATTACTTAAAATATGTTTAAATATAAATTTTATTTTTAAAAAAAATTTAATATGTATATATATCAGATATACCATTAATTTACTATTAAATAAATTTTATTGTAAAATCTCCTATAATTAAATAATTATATAAAACTTTTTATATAATAATTATATAAAACTTTAATCTACTATTTATGATATGCTACTCCTCATTATTCAAATTCAGAGATAAGATATAATTACAGCAAAGAGAGGTCACTGCAGGTAGCCCAATGGTGGGACTACTAAGAGATTTAAGGTAAGGAAACTGTAAAGAAAAGACCTAATCATATACACAAAGTCCTAAATAGTGTAGTGCTATAGATGATACATTAACATGAAGAAATAAATCCCAAAATAAAAGAATTAATCAGTTATGAACAATAACCAATATGGCCATGAAACTAAGTTATAACAAGTAAGCAAAATTATGATACTCTTGATGCAGATATAGTGCTAAGGAATAAGGAGATTTCATCAAAATATATGTCAAACTGTTGTCCAGTCTACTATATATCCCTAAATGCTCCAAAGACCCATTCTCCTACAAAATGTCTGCCCTCAGAACTCTAATTGCAAGAAAACACATACCCATTAGAGATACTTTGAAGAACTGGATAGGATTAAGGAGGTTGATAACATGAAATTATATTAGATTTCAGAATAGGAAACCATAAGTACAATTTACCCAACAGCAGCAAGCTTTGGTTGTTATTGATACATACAACAAATGCTTTGATAGAATATACAAGAAAATATGTAAGAAGGGTTACATATTGGTTTACAGACATGACATGTATACAACATGCTATATAATGTTAAAAACCCAATAGACATAGACACTTCACCAAGAATTTATGACAAATCACACTAGAATGAAAGTCATGTTAATAGTACTGTACATAGAATATACAGTGTACAACATCCCAGTAAAGTTCAAAACACCACATACGTCAGTTAAATTCAAACGATATATATATATTGAAAATAACGTATGTACAGTTACAAAGGTTCACAAAACAAACATTTACAAAACATTAATTATAACAAAGTTCAACACATTTATTCACTACAACACAGGTCCGTCGAAAAGACACCTTGCAACGAACTCTAAAGTCCTTTACAGTCCAACGAGACGAGACAAGCTTCGGTACCAGCTTAGGCGAACTAAGACCAATGTGAGTCCACTTTCTGAGACCACTGTGAACTGAACTTCCCGCCACAACTCAATCCTTTTATAGGATTGAAGCGGAATTGGATCCCACCAATCAGAACTTAGCAGCTCTACAAGACGTCCGCCGATGGCGTGATGTCGCTCAACCAATGAGCGGTCGAGTCTTCAAAAGTGGCCTGATCGCCATTTTTATGGCGACAACCGTCGTTAGTCGAACGATTGGAAAAGCGCGGGAAAACCGTGTGCCAGACAATTTTTATCCCGACAATCCCCATTAGAATTAAAGAGAATGAAAGTATGATAATAGAAAAGCAAAATGTTAGTGTGCAACTGCATTAGTTATTCTATACAACATTCCAGATAATTATGTCCTTCATTTTGTAAATGCAAGGCTCCCACAAACATCCTAAAGGAAGGCAAGTTTATGGAAAAAATTATCATTAAATTATCATATGCCAAAAATTGTCATTGTATTAATCAAAAGGATGTGAATTGCCTTTCAGCAGCATAGAAGTATATGAAATGATATTTATCTTGTGTCTGGCAGAGACCATATGGCTAGGGTTCTCACATATGATTAGTTTGTAGATAAGGTTAATTTTTAATAATAATAATTTGATATTTTGTCTAATTTATATTCTATAAAATTTGTAATTGGTAATGTGCCAGTTTTTAGTTGCAATGCATGTATGTACATTGTATGTAGTATAGTACATATAATGTAGTATTCTAAAAAGTGCACAATTTAGAATGTTTCAGTGTTTAATTTGAAATTTGAATATTGTAATTTGATTTATATGCAATGTTCCATCATTATACATTACAGAATGTTCTATTATTATAGAACATTGTATATAAATCAAATTACAATATTCTGTTTAAAGATTTCTAGATTCATTATTATAGACAGGGTGGAGAAAGTAAAAAATTTTGTAAGATATATTGTTTCCTATCTGAGATTTACTATATTTACTTGAGAAAAATCTTCAGAAGAGAATTTAGCCATGTCTTGTGCAACCCTACCTATATTTGTCCCTGTCCATTTATGAGATATTCTGATGATGACTGCAGAAATGACTGAAAGCATTTGATTTAATAAGTAGATTTGTTGGTCAAGATTGAACTTTTTTGCCTTGTAGTAATCAGATTAAAGCAACAGTTNAACAGCAAAAGGATCTGCATATTGCTTAAATCAACCACCATGTACAGAACAAGATTTTTATGAAATACGTTCTCCCTGTGACGAAAATAAAGAAACATCTTTAATATATAAATGGGTTGAACCTAAATTATGTCGTACTGATATTGATGGAGCTGTTTCTTTATCACCATCTGGGAAAAAATTAAAATGTCCTCCATGCAGCCCAGGAATGGAATATGTCAACAAATCAGGATGTACATTTTGTCCTAAAGACCATTATTCTAATGGTTCAGTTCGTAAGTTATTTTATTTTTTATCATTATTTTTTAATAATATAAAATGAACGAATGAATTATACAATCATAATAATATATTTTTTAAAATGTTGATCCAAATGTTGTGATATTTATTTTTACAACATATAATAGTGTAGGATATATGTACAGTACATCTAATATATATGACTGTATACAAGGAAAGGACAAAATAGCCTAAGCAGTCTTCTTGTTGATTAGTTTGCTGGATGAATAGAGGACTAGTTGTGCTACAAGAGTAACTGATCAAATATCCAACAAACAAGGAAGCTTGATAAATGCTTATTTATTTGATTAAAAGAAAAATTAAAATTATAATAAAATGCAAAGAAATTATTAATAAAGCTTTTACATTTCAATATAATTAATGTCTGATATATTACATTATAATTTCCTTAGATATTTGTAGGTAAAGCTTCTTTATCAGCAATCTTTGTTTCTAATGATTACAGATGTTTATCATGTAATTTTAAAAATGATACAATTTAAATTGAATATTTTATTTAATATATTTCTGTATGTGTATAGTAAATATTTATTGAAATGTTTAATATAATTTTATTGTGATTTAACAGCTTGTCAGCGCTGCCCAGCTTCTACAGCACCTAACTATGGCTTATTGTACAAATGGTGGCATGATATTCCGTTAGGTTTTAATACTCGTTGCATGAGTGTTGAAGGTATTAATATAGTATAATTTATAAGTAAATCATACATTCTTTTAATTTTTAAATATATTTATCTATATAAATTATCAAATTCTACTTTCTTCATTGCTATTTAATTATTTTATTATAATGATTTGTAAAATAATTTGATAACTAATATTTACAGAAGGAGGATGTAAAAATTCTCCAACATGGCAACCTGCAGGGGATCATATTCACTCAGCTTTGGGACATAGAGATGATGTATTTCTAATTTTGTCATTAGATGTATCAGGATTTAGAGGTAGAGAAAGAGTTGTTAATGGACATGCTGCAGAAATTGGCAGAGTCAGTTTTGTCTTTGAACTAGATTGTACTGGAAACTGCTATTTCGTTTTCATGTTTGTAAGTATAATTCAAAATTTAAAACTTTTTAAAAATTAATGGATATCATAAATGTAAAATTATGCTGATAATCATTATGCCAACTTAGTCTTAATTACAAAGTTTATTTAATTGTTATTGGAATTAAAAGTTCACAAATTAGTCTTTAAATTTATTTATTAAATAAATTTAAATTTAGATTTAATTGCAATAATTTTTAATATCCACATTTTTTAAAAGTTATTACAGTAGACCCCCTATAAAATGGGTTCATATAATTCGGATTCATATAATGGCAAAAAAATTGTGACTGTATTCGTATAAACACACTAAAAGAGACGCTTATATAACGGTAAAACATCATCGCCAACTTGTGTCACGACAGGATTGGTCGAATCTAGACCAATAGCGGATATTGCACAAACTGTTGAGTTTAAACAAGCAGTGGACCTACTAAAAACCATTTATTATTTAACATCCATAAAAAATTATATTTATATTAATGATGTCTCCAAAGTTCAGCAAAGTTTTCGCAGAAAAATAATTTATCAGGAAGCATGTGAGCACCATTTGATGCACCGCTCCATGACAAAAACAAGCTTAAGCAATGGTGTCATTGAATGGTGCATACTCAGTAAGTAATCCTACAATTTTTTGTTTATAGCATAGTTTATATGGATTATTCCCAAAAAATTATACATGATTTGGAAATGTTGAGTCGAATTAATCTAGAATCAATTAATTTTATGGAAGAAAACCTTTCAAACAGCCATAGTCTGTAAACTGCATACATGCCGGGCTGTGATTGACTCGTGTATTTAAGGACTTGTAGAACATCAATTTCATAAAGAACAGAATGTATCTACCATGTTATAGGGGGGTCGACTGTATATGTGAACATTTTTTAAAATATATGTATATTTTTGATTTTATCATGTGATTAATTTGTATACTATTGAATGCATTTAAGTTATGTACCATAAATGCTTGATCAGCAATTTAAAATATACTGTAAGTTTATGAAATAAAAAAAACTGCTACAAGTTGTTATTGCATGCTGTTAAAAATAAATAATAAATACTTTTTAATACTTCTCTAATAGCAAAATGTTTGTTTTATATTTTGAAGAAAACAATAAAATAACAATTTTTATATGAAATTTTAATTGAAAAATTATGTGCTTCTCAAAATATATTGTGTTATATTTAATTTACAATTTATGTAGATATTTTAGATGAATATTTGTATTTTGATTGAAGTAGCTTTATTTGGTTTCTTTATTTTGTTTTGATTATATTCATACATATATTTAAACCAGGGCTGTGGAGTTGGGTAAAAATCTATTGACTCTGACTCCAACTTTGCCTTACCATCTGACTGACTCTGACCAGAGGGGGACTTGTTAGCAAAAGAGACCTGATTTCTGATGTCATCACGTGACCTCAGAATAAAAGATTCAATAAATAGAGTTCTAATAAAGATAGAACATAGAAACTTTTTTATTCAAAGCTAAAAGACTCCTCCAAGTAATGACACAGTCAATGTATAAATATGTATTCAATAATTTTTACTTTTCCGGCTATTATATATATCAGAGGAAAGTGCAGCAATTGGTCAAAAAATGACTCCTCCCAAATTTTTACATTTTTGGACTTGAGATATGCAAAAGATTCAAAATTTTTTTTTATATGTATGGATGTTAGACTGTGTGTGGGGGGGCATGATTTTGTTCACCCTGTTTGAAGCCTAATAACTTATGTGATTTTTAAATCAGAGTCAGATGGTTTAACACAGGAGTTAAGCGTCAAAGTGGTTGAACTAAATCATGCCCCATACACATTCTAACATCTTAGACGAACATCTTAATGGTTATTTTAACCGTTAAGATGTTTAGTTAAGATAACTCGTTAAGACTTAACAAGTTTCACTGTACTATTATAAAATGACAAAAAGCTTACTTTTGAGGGTAGAGATGAATTTTATTTTTAAAAAAATTGTGAATGCTAATAATGAGTAAAATATTCATTAAGTTTGACTGCACTGAAGTTATGACACATGACCCCTTCTATGTTTCCATCCTGTTGACCTTTAATTAAGAACCAAAATTTAATAGCATTAATGTCCCTTTATATGCAAGCTTCAGTGCCAAATTTCTTTTCTTAAACTTTACCCATTCTGAGATATTGTTTAATATCTCAGAATAAAGAAATTAAACAAATTAGACACCAACACACACACACACACACATGTGCAAATTTTTCCCTTTTAATTGACATTTTTTTTTTGGGGCGTTTGGGAGACTCCAAATGTGTTTGACCCTCTAAGATTTGCAAAAAACTTGGAGGGTCAAATTTGACACGATTCCAATACTTTTCAGTTTTATATACATAACAAGTTGGAAAGTAAAAAGAAGTCGGAGCAGTGGATTTTTTGATGACTGCGACTCCGACTAAAACACCAAAACTCCACAACTCCAACTTCACAGCCCTGATTTAAACAATTAGAATATGGAAACGAATAGTAGTCAAAATTAAAAATTTTGAATTAATATTGTTGATTTTTAAAAAATATTTAGTACTTTAAACTTATTTGAATGGTCAAATAGTTTTCAAAGTCTCAGACAACCATGGGGCATTGACAATCATGCACCAAAACCCCATTTATCCCACTTTTGTAATTTACAATGAATTTGGGGAATAGAATTGAAGTTTGTGCAGATGCATTCAGTCTGTACAGAGTTAGAATAGCACATATGTGAAAGAATCACAAAATTACTTCTGAATCTGTGAGTCCTAAAGATCACTGGAAAGCACACTGAAAACCTTTCTAATTGAAAGTAATAAGATATACTTATATTAGTAGACATTAAGAGCAACCCATTCTTATATTCTAACATTAACATTTTGGATTTTTCCCCATACATTATTGCATTTCAAGTCAGAAAGAAGTGCAAAAAAAAGTTGAAGAAATTATTATTTTTTTATATATATACATATTACTTGGAATCAAATAAAATGCACAACTTCTAATAAACAATTTAATGATGAATGACCAGACCTTGTTATACAATGACAATCAGCAATAGTCCAGAAAAACAGCATATGTAAGGTCCATTTCAGTTTTTCTCATTTTTTTTCCACATTGTCACAATATTGCTATATTCATCTGAATAATATGTGAAAATTTTGACTATTTGATGAAGATGTTTACCTAAGTATACTTATAAGAAATTTATAGAAATGTATTTTGGGCTTCCTGAAAAGTTGGAATTTTGTATATGTACAATTTTTTTACATAGATATCAGTTCAATTATAATGTGTTTTTATATAGCTGGCCAGCAATTTTATTGATGGTTACTGTTGTGTGAAACCTTTTAATAAAATATACTTTATTAATTCAATAATTTAATAATTTTTTTAGCTAAAGAAATGCTCTGTTAGTGTTTACATTCTCTAATAGTAAATTTTCTTTAAAAAATCCTACATAATATGTATTGAAAGAAGGATCTTGATAGAGCAACAATCTTATAAATAAAAGAGAAATTTTATAAGTTTGTTTGTTTGTGACATTGTTTCATCTGTGTGAAGCTGTTGTAAAAATATTTGTCATTTGTATTGGCAATGTTGTTGAATTTCTCTTTGGGAAAGTTGGGAAATTTATCTTTTTATTTGTGTACTTTCCTACAAACCTGTTCCATTGTATTTTATAGTAAAATTTGTGAAAGCCCACAAATTTCTTTCAAATGATCATAAAAGTTTATTTTAGCAAATGAAACATTTTATTTTATCACTTTTGACATAAAAACCTAATATGTGAATATTTTGAAAGTGTTTACTTAAAAAATATTATTATTTCCCATCTATTTTTTATGTTTCTTTAAAATATAATTAATACCTCTTGAATTATATCATTTTAAATTATTTTATTGCTGATTGCTCTGCTAAGAATTACTTTCTTCATTGTTTGAGAAAAATTTTTAGTATTTGTGAATATTTTTGTGAAATATAATGGAATGAATCGGTACAAAAATATGTACATAAAACAATATTTATGTTATTAAGAGAAGATTGAAAGAAAAATAATGAAATTTCTAATGCTAAAACTAAAGCAATTATTCAATGTATGCCTATATAGTCATTAACTATCACGTGTACCAACGTTTAACAAAATTATGTGAGGTTTCAAATGTGTTTGAAGTGTTCTTAAATTAAGATAACCTGATTATTGCTGGATACTTTAACTAGTATGGAATAAATGCCAGATTTTTCAAAGTTAAAGAATGATTGGCATTTACTAAATATTTGTGGAAAAACAGTTGTGTTTATGTGACTCAGTGACTGCACTGAAGTTATGACACATGACCCCTTCTATGTTTCCATCCTGTTGACCTTTAATTAAGAACCAAAATTTAATAGCATTAATGCCTCTTCTTTATATGCAAGCTTCAGTGCCAAATTTCTTTTCTTAAACTTTACCCATTCTGAGATATTGTTTAATATCTCAGAATAAAGAAATTAAACAAATTAGACACGAACACACACACNGTGAAATATTGTGTTTAAATTTGCAAACATTAATTAACTTATATTTCATTTTAATCTGAATTTTACTAGTTGATTAAACTAAACATATTGTACAGATATAATTTTAGATTATTAAATTTTTAACAAAATGCATTTTGTTTAATTTAATTATTTATTTATGTTTAAAAAAATTATATATGTTTTACTTTCAAAGAGTTCATTTTTATTCGTTTTTATTTTTAGGCAACTAATAGAAAAGAAGTTTCTGAAATTCAGAGTTGGAGTGGAAAACAAGAAAAACAACATTTTAGGTAATGTTTGATTTCATTCATTTAATATGGTAAACATATCAGATACTAAAATATACTAAAAATATTGTAAGATAAAATTGTAATTAAATATGAAATTATAATTAATTATTAAATTATTATAAATTATATCAGTGTGGTTCTTTGTTTTCAAGAAATCTTAAGAATTGAAACTACATAGAAATTTTATGCTTAATTCTTGCAATTTGCCATAAGGTTTTAAATGAGAAAAATGTTAAAATTTATGGCAAACTTTTAAAAATTACTTTAAATATTCTTGGGATGAAGGAAGCCCAAAAGAAGTCCACTCAAATACAGATTTAATGCAAACAAATACCTGTTTATTGACATATGGATTATACATATAATTACAGTTATAGATTAGTCAGGATTTCAATATAGAGTTCTTAGTACTATTGTAGCTAGTCCCTAATCTCAAGAGAGAGTTTACATTCAGTCGCATGCTGATAAATACCTGGAGTATTTAAATAGCCGAGGAGGTTTGTTCCTTGCTTGTTGGAGAGAGGTTGATGTTATGGATACCTAGCAAATAGGTAGTTCAGAGTACATCTGGTCTGTAGGATGTCAAGTATCTTGGACGTCAGGTAGATCGATGTGTATCACTTGATGATAGGTTGGTAGGATGAAGGTTCGGATAGTAAGATGATTAGTTCAAGGCAGTAATTGGCAGGATAGGCAGTGTATTCAAGTTCCCTGGAGGGAAAAGAGGAGTAACCAACTTTGGAGGACAGCAAACTCTCTTTTTGCTGTCGATTTTTCTCTTTTATCTGAGGGTCCTCCCCTTTTCTTCTCATACCCATCTTTGGTAATGTTAAACTCTATGTCCAATAGCGATTTATTTTGTTAGGTTCCTGATACAGTCAAAAGTGACACATTCAAAAGATGTGTTATCTCTGGACAAGGAGCAAATCTGTGGGAAAAGATATAATCATATCCTTTAATATTTTGTTTTTGTTGGGAAGAATTTTTAACAAAATTTTTTTCATTATTCCTTTGTTTGATTCAAAAAAATTTAGAATAAAATTTTTTGTCAAGTCCAGGCTCTCACAAATACATCCATAGATATCTTATATTATGTTTGTATGATAGCATGCCAAAAAGAACTGTAATATATTAAAAAAAGGATTGTTTGAATGTGTAACCAACAAATAGGCAATGTCCATGTTTGATTATTTTTTTGGTTGTTACCTTTTTCTATTGTTAAATAAATTCAGTAACAAGTTATAAATAAGGGTTAAGAAACAAAACAAAAATGTAGAAATGAAATATACTGCTGTCCAAGTAAAATGCAACACCATGTAGGCCTCTAGATATTGCAGGTGTTGCATTTTACTTGGCCAGCAGAGTACAAGAATAATAAGTTAATAAGTAAGAAGCTTAGTTAATTACAAAAAATTAAGATATTTTATTTATCACTTTTTTGCCATTAATTGAAATTAATTTTTATGTTAAATTCATCATATTTAATTATATACAATTATAACTTATTTATTTATTTATAATTTTTTAAATAAAATTTATTAAGTTTTCATTATATTCTAATTTCAAAATTATATTTTTTACAGTTATCCAATTGTGTTAAATGATACGTATATCTTCAATTGGGCTTTCCAGAGACAGAGTTATGAAGAAATTAAAAAACATTCTAATTCTGATAGTAAAAACATAGCTAAAATATATGAAATAACTGTCACAAATACAGTGGATGGAGGTGCATCAGAGTGTTTACCATGTCCTCAAGGAACAGAAGCAGAAGGGTAAAGAAATTATTTCTCTCTTCTTATTTAATTTTATTTTACAAAAATATTTTTGTAAATAGACAGTATTAAATTTATTTACATTAATAATAGGATTTTAATGACTTACTTTTTGTTGGAAGAATCTCTATTCAAAGAAAATTTATCTGCTTTTATATATTTTCTTTTAATCTTAGCATAAAGATAATTTGTTAGTTTAATAACTATTTCTAACTATATATATACCTTAAAAATTAAAAATAATTATTTGATTGCTTTAGATTTTACTTGTTCATCTGGTATCCCATAGGATTCTATTTTAAGTTCTGTACTTTTTCCTACATATATATATTTTTCCTACATACATATCCAGTCATCTATAAATTACAATCTGATATTTTTGGTTATTCTAATGACATGAAAATTTTAAGTACTGTAATAATCCTATTTTATGTTATACTTTAGCAGAACATTATACAGTCAAACCTCAATTTACAAACTTAATTAATTCCTAAAAGTTGTTCAGAAACTGATTTGTTCTCAAACTGAAACAAATTTTCCCATAAGAAACAATATAAAATGGATTAATTCATTCCCAACCCCTAAAACAAACCCTTTAACTTAATCTTTACATTTTTAGCTGTATTTCAGGCATAAAATGCCTATAAAGGCAATATAATATTATATATAATATTACTTTATCTATATCTATACCTATTTTTAGTCTATATATATATATATACAGTGGTACCTCAGTATACGTCTGCTTTAGAATATGTCCAATTCGGAATACAACCTGTTTGGATGAAACAAATTTTGCTCGGTATATGACTTTTGTTCGGTATATGACTTAATTCAATTATATGCACCATCTATGAACAAGTAGCATTATCGGTGTACTAGACCAGACTAGACGTTCGCGGTGCAATGGTTTATAACTTTGTTAAATTTTTTCTGATTTTAGTTTGTAAGTAAAATTTTATTATTTTAATTAATCATTAATTACAAGAAGGCAAATGAAAAGCAACAGAAAACTAAAATAAAATGACTAGAATCACAATGAAACTGATAAAAGAGATTGTTGAGAAATATGAAGATGGCACACGTGTTTGAGATTTTAACTGTTGCATACTGTATTCTGAGAATGACGATATCAACAATTGTGAAAAATAAAGACATTATTAAATATGGTAATGTTGCGAAAAGAGTTAAATCAATTTCTAAACAGAGATCGAAGACATTAGATTATGTTGAGAAATTGCTTTTGCTTTGGATAACTGAAAAACAATGTGCTGGAGACAGAATATTGGAAGCAATTATTTGCGTTACATGCTAAAAAGTTACATGCTGATCTCATGAAAAATCAAACAGGAACTAGCCAGGAAAGCGAGGTGTTTAAAGTCAGCCATTTTTTTTTACATGAGAACGAATTAATCATTTTTACATTACTTCTTATGGGAAAGATTGGTTTGGTATATGTCCAATTCGGTATAAGTCTGAACATCAGGAACAGATTAAGGTCGTATATTGAGGTTCCACTGTATATATATATATTAAAAGAAAAATGTTTTGTCACCTCTACTGAAATTAAAACTTACACTTTACAAAGAAGTGTTATAAATAGTGACTCAACTCTGACTGCCAAGATGAAATATAACCAAATCAATCAAGATGGACAAGTACTTTATCCATACTCTCCAAATGATTATAAAATATACTTCACGCCACCATTCAAATAAATAAAATAATTAACACTTCAGTGTTGTGGCATCACAAATTGCGACTTTTTAGCACGATTTGTGATAGTGGTAAAGTCACTTTACTACTACCATGAATCGTGCTAAAAAGTCGCAATTTGTAACTCCACAACATGTTAGTGTTGTGGAGTTACTTATTAGTTAATTATTTTATTTATATATTTTTCAAAATATTGTGTTTCAATTGATTTGATTTCAAATTTAATTTTAATTAATTATTTTAAATTTTATTTAATTTTAGTTTTAGTTTCAGTTTCAATGTAAAGACTAATTTTAATTATTTTATTATTTTTAAATTTAATTATTAGTTTCAGTTTAATTAACTGGCTACCTAGTATTAATTAATAAATATTAAATATTAATACAATATTATAATATATATTAATAAATTTTTGTCATTTAATTTAACTTAAGCATATTTAAACACAAATTCTTGAATGCCATTTATATTACATGAATGTTAATGTGGTTAATGTGGTATTTATTAATTTGATTTAAATTCAACTGTGGCATATACTAAAAAAAATGGAAATAATATCTTTCCTGCATGTTCATTGAAATGTAATTTAAGTAGCATTGTCATCAGTGATTTGTTATGTGACACGAGACAATCTTGGTGCCACTAACTTCTGAATTGGTAGTCCTGTCATTGATTAGTCAGGCTGCTGATTTTCTCTAATATGAAATATAGGAAGTTGACCATCAGCGGCCGACTCTGCTGAGTAGCTTGTTTGGAAACCAAGTTATCATATGGCAACTAGAGCAAAATTTTATGCATAAACCAAATTGTTCATATATGAGAGAGTTTGTAACCTGAAGTTTGACTGTATTTTTAAAAACTAGTGTTTAAATTGTACTTTTCGTGTCAATTTACAGAAAACAGCCTTTATGTTATTCACCATTAAGAAATTTTCCAATTTCATCACTTGAAATTGGAAAATTTCTTAATGGTGAATAACAGAAAGGCTGTTTTCTTCATATTTTTCTTTCTCCTATTAAATATTTTTCAAATTAAATAATTCGTACATTAAGTACAAATACAATCTTACATTTTTGTTCTCACTATAAAAATTTAATTAAAGCTTTCTATCCATTGTGGAATATTATGATATAATTATTCAACAATTTTCCATAGACCTATATTAAGTGCACTCATTAGTGCATATTTTCAGTCCTTAATTGACTGGTTTGTCATTCTATTCCTCTGGTTTGTCATTCTATTCACCATCTGTTTCAAATCTTGCTAGGTACACAATTCACAGTATATTCTGTGTTTTATGTTGTAAGTAATATTTCTTTTTCAGACTCGTGAAAAGTCATTCAATCCATTTCCATTTTTTGGCTTTAGAAAATTGTATTATTTACCTCAACTGATTATGTTTCTTCTGATATTTTAATAGGTTATTTTCTTTTAATTATATTTATATTTGTTTTCTACCTTTTAATAGACATGCTCAAAGTATCATATGATATATTCAAAACTTACCCAAGAATCTTTTATTAAATGTCTTTTCTTTCAATGGGTTGCCAGGTCTGTTGTTGAGATCAAAATTTACCTTTATTTTACTGTAATACAGTACTTTAAAAATGAATATATAAAAATCTTTTTTACTTAAAGATTTTCATAAACTTATGTACTATACCGTTGTTTTTTTAGCATTTTATTTACAATTGCTTTATAATTTTAAGAGTACATATTTTTATATTCTTATGTATATATTTTTACATCCGTATTTTCTTGCATCTTTAAATTTTTTATATTTTTGTACATCTTATATATGTATGTTTTTTTATTTTTTCCTTTTTAATTTGGATAATTGTCTGGTTGTTGCAAGGAAACAGGTTTTTTTTTTAACAGCTTGCCTGTAAATATTAATAATTAAAAATCCTATTAAGCATAAGCTTATTTTTTAACAGCCTTGCCTGTAAATATTAATAATTAAAAATCCCATTAAGCATAAGCTTATTTTAAAATAAATAATTGGATAGTTGAAATCAATTGTAATAAATATTTAAAATTTTTTAAAATTTTATTATCAAATTAATTTTCATATAATAGTTAAGTTAGATTAATGAAAATTATAATTAAGAAAACAATTTTTTACAATTTTTCATCTGAGATGGTTGAACAATGATATACNAATTTTTTATATATTTATTAAATGTAATTAACGCCAACCATGTCTTTTTACTATTTTTTTATTTAATCTAGATGAGGCGATTTATTGCTGTAACCATGTGTCACGTGCAACTAAAGAGGGAGTAAGAAACATCTCTTATTCCCGTCTTGTTGATATTAACGTCTATAGAATTACCTTTAAACAAATGGAAGAGATTTCTTTTATTGAAATACTAATGATTTTTTTCGAGGAGATTGTCTCGGACATCAACCGCAGAAGGCCCCCTTTTTCCCTTTTCACCTAATCACGAGGTTTATTAGAGGGGTGATACTGTTCTAAAACAAAAGGGTTTTGGACCTTCACATAAATATCAAGAAATCATTTAGTCAATCATTTTCAAAGATGCAAATGAATATGGTTATAAAAATAAGTTTTATTCTTCTAATTTATTTTATATAATATTGTACCAATATNCAGGTTGAACAAGAATAACACATTTAATAAACAACTATAAAATTGTACATATCAAAGGCGAAGGTGAAGAGCTACAAAAATTCTATTCTACATCGCAACAATGATTCATCTTTCATATGGAACATCTAATCTCTATTCTCTAAGTTAAATTAAGAGACGAGAGAGAGAGAGACCTCTTGGAGAGAGACTTCGCAGAAAGAGAGTATACAAATAGATATCCAAAAAAAATACCTCTAAGTTCCCAATCCGTAATATGGGTTGTTGGTAAAAACGTTCCTGGATCATCATGGCAGTTATGGCGAGGTAGCGACGGATAGGGTGGCGGTATGGGTCAGTAGATGTGGCAGTCGATATCCGCCCTGAGGTGTCTGCCTTGTGGACTGTGTCCAAGTCCTCTTTATACTATTTTTGAAGGGATGAGAACTATGACATCATTAATGATTTATACGCACACCTGTTCGTGTGTTGATGTCTGGATCTAGCTAATGCAGACCACTGGCACAGAGAAGTTTGTTTAATTTATTGATATTGGTGTCTAGAAGATATGATTTTATAATATAAATTTCTATAGGTTTGATGGTTCTCATCCATAAATTAACATTCAGCTGATAATAATTTCTGTAAATTGATCAACAATCTATATATTTAATAAATATATAAAAAATACGACATTTTCACAAAGGTGAGAACCTTGCTTCTGTCAGTCTTTCCGCCGTTTCATTTCTACACCATCAGCAATCCTTAAGACAATTCACAAAAATTTTCTCGGAGATGACTTCCTTTTAAGGCTACTGCCTCTGCAATTTTTTATATATTTATTAAATGTAATTAACGCCAACCATGTCTTTTTACTATTTTTTTATTTAATCTAGATGAGGCGATTTATTGCTGTAACCATGTGTCACGTGCAACTAAAGAGGGAGTAAGAAACATCTCTTATTCCCGTCTTGTTGATATTAACGTCTATAGAATTACCTTTAAACAAATGGAAGAGATTTCTTTTATTGAAATACTAATGATTTTTTTCGAGGAGATTGTCTCGGACATCAACCGCAGAAGGCCCCCTTTTTCCCTTTTCACCTAATCACGAGGTTTATTAGAGGGGTGATACTGTTCTAAAACAAAAGGGTTTTGGACCTTCACATAAATATCAAGAAATCATTTAGTCAATCATTTTCAAAGATGCAAATGAATATGGTTATAAAAATAAGTTTTATTCTTCTAATTTATTTTATATAATATTGTACCAATATAAATAAAAATGTTCTCAAGAAAAGTGCTTGAGAAATGGATTGTCACTATAAATTAGTTAATAAGGCAGATGGTTAATTTTATTATTATATTAATATATAGTTACTGTATTGTTAGATTGTATTGATATAATTTTTTTCTTTATTGATATATTCCAAATTTTTAAATTATTGATAATCAGATTTCTAGCTACAGTCAACCCCCCCTATAACATGGTAGATACGTTCCATTCTTTATGAATCGATTTCTTACGAGTCCTTGCCAATCACAGCCCGACATGTGTGAAGTTTATGGACTACAGCTGTTTGAAAGGTTTTCTTCCATAAAATTAATCGATTCTAGACTAATTTGACTCAACATTTCCAAAATACGTATATATTTTTTGGGAATAATCCATATAAACTACACTATAAACAAAAAATTGTAGGATTACTTACCGAGTGTGCACCGTTTGACTACGCTCGTTGCTAAAGCTTGTTTTCGTCACGGAACAGCTCAGCAAACCGCGGCCGATTTCTAATAACTTATTTTTCTGCGAATAGTTCCTTGAACTTCGGAGACATCATTAATATAAATAATTTTAATCGCCGTTGAATAAGAAATGTTTCTTTCACAAGAAATGTATAAAATTAGACTGTATTAGTGCTGTATTAGACTTACGGTACCTAATTTACATACTGTACAGATGATAGTAAACAACTTACTCGCCTAAACTCTCTGTAGCGTGGTGCTGGATGGCGGAAAGTATATATATAATTATAATAAAGTTACAATAAATTAAGTTAATATATAATTATATATACAGTACCTAATTTATATATAATTAATATATAATTATATGTACAGTACCTAATTTATATATAATACTGTACAGATGATAGTAATCTCTCCATAGCGTGGCGCTGGATGGCGGAAAGTAGTTCAGCTGCCCGATGACGTTTTACTGAATTATAGGAGTTTTTTTTACAAGGTTTGTACGGATACTGTCGCAATTTTTTCATCGTCTTATAGGAATCGTAATTATAGGAACCTGTGTTATAGGGGGTCTACTGTATATTATTGATTATACATTTAGATAGCTACTAGATTAAAATATTTTATACCCAGAGTATTTTCAGCCAGTTAGTGAGTTTCTTTTACATTGTCATCCATTCCAAAACATTCACCACCCAAAAACTCTAAAGTTATTTGTTTATTTTGCTCCAATTGATAGTACAGCAATCAAGGAACAATATATTTGATTGCATTCAAAATCATTTATGGAGCCTGTGACCGTGGAGCAATTCATGATTCAATAGGTGTTTGAATGCATACATTCACTTACATGGAGGGCATTTCAAACATTTATTATAGCTATGTAATTATTAAATTTGGCTGTAATAACCATCAGATTTGAACTAATCACATACCACAAAAATCTTTATTAACTACTTTAAATCCCAATATGCATTTCACCCTTTATAATGGCCTTCCTCAGACAGTCTATGATTTTTTTTCTTCAAGAAATCAATTATAAATATATTGACACTTATTGTCCATTTACCTTTGACATTAAATTGCTTTAACAATAATTAACAATGACAACAATAATAAAATAACTTACATATAAATTGCTTGTAAAATTCCATTATATTGAAAGTTTTTTCTTTACTTTTCCAATCACTTTGTGCATCCATTTTCCAAAGTTCACTAACTCTCACTTTCTTCTTTTCATGGTTTAATTACCTTTTCATACAAACAACTTTTCTAACTTCACACCTTTTTACCATTTTCTTGGTTTAATAAAACAATCACTTTTTTACACAAATCACTTTTCTTTGCTTTAAACTAGTCACTTGATGTTGGCTGTGACATGTGTCCTGTACTCAGTTTTTTATACTTAAATATTTGTACTGTGATTTTTTAATTTCTCTTTCATTACTATCATTTATTTTTTTAACCCTTTATTTTCTTTATATATATGTTATAATAACTGTTGTTTATATAAATTTTTTCTGATTTTAATATTTTACTGTTTTCAAATTAACTTCAGATCCTTCTGTGCCATAATGTCTTACTATTGCTGAATCTTTATAATTATATTTAATTGCACATACGTTTTCCAATTTGAACATGCAGTTTTTTCCCTGGTTATTATAGCCAAATTTAATAATTATATGAACATATACCTGGAAAAAAAGCATAAGAATGCATTTATTGTAGATTTAATCTGGTAATAACTGTCAATAATTCTAATAAAATATCTGTATTATCTGCAAGTGTACTTGTATTAATATTTGTGTATTCTCAGTCATTTTCTTGTAAATCATTTATTTCCAAATCTGTGAACACCCTATATATATTAGTTCTTGTCATCTACATGAAATTTTAAATTTTAATATTGGTTTAATTTATTCCAGATGCATTCCCTGTCCACCTGGTCATTATATCAAAGATAAAGATAGTTTACAATGTTTACCATGTCCCTCAAATACGTATGTTTCTGACCCTTTTCCATATGGTATAAAATCTTGTAAACCTTGTGGACCTGGTTTATATAGTGATGATGGACAGAACTGTCAAACAAATTGCAAATTGAATTTTTCAGATGGTCAGCATTATGATCTCACTTCTCTTCCACCGTATGTATCTATTTATTTATTATCTATTACTAATTAATATCTAAGTATTAACTTAATGAATATTGACTGTTTAATAAAATTATATTTTTTATAATTAAGTTTTAATTTTGTTATTTGAATTCTTAGACAATATTAGACTTTTCCATTGAAGTAAATATATGATGTCTTATTTTCTAAATTATTTTTGACAGTAATATGTAATAATGGTACCCAATATTTTCACTTATTTTCAGCTGATTTCTATTTTTACCTTGAAAAGATATAAAAAAAAAATCTAACAGTTTAAGAATCATTATAAGCATTTTGTCTATTTATTTCTTATACCTTTAGACCATTGCAATTTAGCATGTATACAATCTATTCTAGTCCCTTCTTGTCCACTTTTTTAAAAAAAGTTTTTAATTAAACATAAAAAATACTTAAAACTGAAAAAAAACGAAAGAAATGTGTTAATATCCGTTAAAAAGCTTCATCTCGCCTTTCTGTGAAATTTAACACTGATGAGTCATTGTTTACACATCTGGATGACCTTGAGAACAGCTGGTGTCTATTTCCCGGGACATTCTCATAGACGTCTCGGGAGGAGAAGGGTTTAAAGTAGGGTGACTAGTAACTAAACCTATATTTTAAAATATTTTTTAAAAATTATAATTTTTATTGCAATTTCCGGCCCCCCCAATTAATTAAACATATATATAATAAAATCTATTAATTAAAAAAATTAAAAAACTATCGGAGGTCGTTTTTGACATCAGAAAGCAGCTTTAAATAACTTTACGAAAGGAAAATCCGTGCGCTACAACTTAGGAACCATGAAATAAATTTGATAAAAAAACTCCCATTAAAAAACAATTAAGCCTTAATCGAGCCTTATCAAAGGCTCNGTCTGCCTTGAATAGACAGCCCTCTACTTAACTTTATACTTAACTTATCCAGGGCCAGCACAGCTTCCCTATGGTCAAATGTCACTGCATGCCACTGCATACTAGGTTAACGTAATGAAAGTATATTCTAACTAATTACCATACTTCAATTAAACCCTGGGAAATAAAAGTTCTGTTAAAAATAAACTCCAGGTTGAAAACCACAGGAAACATGTTGAAGTACTGCACTGAATAGAACAATGTAGTTTAGCTCAGCGTTTCTCAACCACCAGTCTGTGAAGAATTTTTACCGCTCTGTGTTAAAAATTTTCTTTTTCAAAAAAATAATGATAATTTAATAAATAAAAATTTTATGATGTATAAATGATAATAATAATTTTACAATTTACTTCTGTAGTAATTCTTTAATATATAGTAAAGTTTTTTGAAAAAACACCAATGGTCCGCGGGCCAAAAAAGGTTGAGAAACGCTGGTTTAGCTAATATTCTACCTCTTCAAATTGTCTGACAGCACTTTCTATTTCAACATTCAGAGAAACATTGTTTTGAAATAAAATTATAAATATTGTTGAATATTGAGTGTGTCACGATTGAGTTCATAAACAGATCTTATCAGCCAAAACTGGTTAAAATTCACCTCTTTCCAAAAGAGATGGTGAGTTTGAACCAGAAGATGGTAGTCAAGATCTTGATTCCTACATCATCAAATCAGACATGAATGACAAAGTAATAACTGAACTGAAAGATGCTGAATCAGGTTAACTATGAAAATAATAATTATTTCAAATTTTATTATTACAAATATTCAAACAACAAGTCAAAATCAATTATGTATAAGAAAAAAAACAATCAAAAAAAGTTTTCTTTTTTCCTAACTCTTCTAATTTAATTTCCACCAGTATCAACTAAATTAAAAAAAAAACAAAGAATACACTTCTCTTATGAGTTAAGCATTTAACTGTCACCAAAATACTGCCAGACAGTTTGGTCCAAAAGTAGATCACCTTTGATATTCATACTCTCTAGTTTGCTTTTGGGAGCTGTACCTCTCTGTTGAATTGGTGTGTTGTCTTTTATCTGGCTTACAAAGTGTAAGCCAGATAATGCCACATTATCCTACTCACACATTTCTGAGTGTTACAGGATCAGTCACATATGTAAGTGAATATTTATTTTTAATTTTGTATTTAGTTTATTTTTGGAGTTTTGGGAATTTTAGTCCTTAAAAACATAATAAAACATCCCAAAAAGAAAATAATAATAACTAAAAATAACACCCAAAATAAAATAACTTCTGACTTCTTACAATATTAATTGAATATCATAACACTAAACTTAAATTGCTTCTCATGAAAAATTGTATTTTGAGTTGTGTCATGTTTTTTCAAGCTGAGCAATATGTAAACATAACCAAATAATTTTTGTGAAATTTCTGTATTCTTTAAACTATTATTTATTTTCATTGTTTTTACTTTACAATGTTTGTTCTATGATCTAATTTCTTCATAAAAATATTTGGTAACCATTTTCCTTATATAATCTGAATACAGTAGACTCTCCCATATCCAAGCTAATGTGGACACAAGTGATTTTGATATTAGAAAAATCTGAATAAGGAAGTGTGATCATTTTATATAAAATTGTAACATATATGCATACTGTATGTATAATAAATGTTTATTTTGACTGTGACACGTATTTTTGACAATTACAATTAATTTTGAAGTATTAAGAAGAACAAAACAAACAACTGCAACAGAATTTACTGACACACTCATGTCATTGATGATACAAACTTCAAGGCACCTTTAATAAAAAAAATTTTAAAATATACACATTGTAGTATGTAAAGGTAAGATTCAGAGTAGTATGCAATATTTTTGAAAACTTTTGATTGACTTTGATCACTCTGGATACAGGAATGTCCAGATATGGGAGAGTCTACTGTAATTATAAAATGATTATTCAAATTATAATGTAATCAGTTCAAAATGAGATGACACTAAATTTTTCAATATAAATTTATATCGACTAAGGATTATTTATAAGTTTTTTAATTTATAGTCTATTGGACCACAACTTGAAGAAGATGTTCATGCATTAGTGTGCAGATCAACAATTATTCCTTCTCAGACAGATGGTTCAGATTCAGTGATGGCTTTCCAGGCAGTAAGGTAGGTTTGTATAAAACAATATATAAATACTTAAAATTATTTCAGCTGTGTAATTTATTGTTTATCATAGTTATTACAGCTTTTCTGTTGTCTAAAGTTACTAAGAGCATCTGTAGCAAACATGAAAAATTCTGTGTATGCAACAAACATATTCATTTGCAATTTTTTCTGAAATAACCAAAGACATGAATATACAGGGTGATTCAAAAGTCACAGAAATTTAAAAAAATTAATAACTCACAAACTATTTACAGTAAAAATTTGTAAATTCTAAAAATAAATAAGATTATTTCTAGATTAAAAACAAGTAAAATTACTCTTTCTTATCCAACTTCGAGTGATTCAGTTAAGCAGACAAACAAATAACTAAGAAATACTAAACTGAAAATGAAAATACTAAAATGAAAATGGAGTTATTGGTAATTAAACCAATAACTCCATTTTCATTGAGTTCACAAAATCCTACTTGTTTTTAATCTGGAAATAGTCTTATTTATTTTTAGAATTTACAAATTTTAAGAATATTATTGATCCCATTGTTTTAAATCTTACGAATATATTTACAGTAAGATGATGCAGTTTTCACAAAAATTCTTAGAAAGAAACGGGGTTTTTTAGGTATAATAAAAATTTTAGTACCAAAATAGTTACATTTCTTGTCATAGGTGGCGCTGTAAAAAACTGAAATCATTTGTAAATTTGTTAAAGTAAGAATAAAAAAAATTAAAATGTTCTTAGTGTAAGCTCTAATAACAACTTCACAAATTATACAATCTTATCAAGCACCATCTACGGCAAAAAATGTAACTACTTTGGTACTAAAATTTATATTACATCTAAAAAACCCCGTTTCTTTCTATGCATTTCTGTGAAAACCACTGTAATTAGTTTGAGAGTTATTAATTTTTTAAACATTCTGTTACTTTTGAATCACCCTCTACTTAACTTACCTCTAGTTCTCTTCTATTCATTTTCAGTACATTCAATTCATGCTCCAATTGATATTACTGCATTGAATTTTAGAAAAGAAATCATCAAGGCTGTGAGCCAGATATGAAGCCTTAATGGGCCATATCTGGCCTGCAGGCCACCAGTTTGTGATCCCTGACCTCAACTTTTGGGATGGCAAAATCTAACAAAATTCTATTATTCTAAGCAATTTAATAACTATTAAATTTTTAAATTGATCATTTTAATGACATTTAGTATGATGCATTGTGACCTCATTTGTCTTATTAAATCAATTGAAAGTTCAGTATTTTAAAAGTTCTTCATGAAAAATCATTTTACCTAAACTTTTGGGACAGATCTTAAATACCAATAATAGTTACTATAACATTTAAGCTTTTTAAAAATTGATTGCTGGTACTAGTTATAATTATTGAAAATGCAGTATTATAATTGTATTATATCAAAAATGCTAATTGCATAAATTTTTTGCATACATTGCTTACTGTATAGCAAAAATTTGTATAAAAATGTATAATTAATTTTACATTATTACATTGTTATTCCATGATTACATTAATTTAAGATTAATTTTAATATTAATATAATTTTAAACATGAAAATATACAAAAATAATTAAACTACTGTTTTCTTCAGTTTAGGTGATAATTTGATTGGAATTTCTCCACACCCAACATTAAGAAACATTTCTGTTGCTCCTGAATTTATTCAATGTAAGTTCATAATAGCTCTATTGCATTTATTATTTCATTTTCTAGTAAATTTTCAATACTTTTGCAAATTTAAAATTATTCATTTCACTTAAAAAAATATCTGTATATAGTTAAAATATCTTATCTATCAGAAATTAGTATTTAAATAATTTTCAATAAATGGCTTTATGTATTATACTTTTTCTTTAAAGATATAATTTATAAAGCAATTTATCAAGGATTATTTAAATAATAATTTATGGAAATAATAATTAAAAGGATTTACCAATAAATGTGAATTTTTTTTTTTTTTAATTTTCTTGTAATGAGACAAAGCTTTTAAATGTAGTAAGTTTGAGAATTTTTTTATATTTTTGAATAAATTTGGAATAGCATAATCTTTAGAAACAAAAATGTTATTAAATTCTTTTCATGATCCATGGTTCTCAAACTGATATATGTACCCCTGGGGTTTGTCGACTCAGAGGTTAATGGTCACCCCAGTTATTTTTATACAGGTGTTATTTATACAGTTATTTTTATACAACCATCATCACTGGAGAGAGGTCACTGAATTATGATATCAATGACAAATTAGTGGGTCTGTCCCATGTTCATTCCAGTCAAAAATTTCTCTTTGAATCCACGTGGTCAACCTGCAAGAAACATGGCTACGCTATGTTTGAGAGCACAGATAGAAGAGATGGGAAGTATGGGGAAGTGGTGGGGAGAGTGATCTGGCTTACTTTCTCATGTGGCACAATTATAGCTGAAGATTAGGAGGATTATGGGCAGCCTACTGGTACATTCCCAAACCTCTCATATTTTCTCATGATCATGCACAATCTCCACAGTGCCACAGTCTCACAGTTGAAGATTTGACTCATTGTAGTAGGCCTATGGTCCATGCTGTTGCTGCAGCAAGGATCAATGTGGCCATTGATCCTTGCTGCTGCTGTCTTCATTTGCTTTCTTCAATAAGTGTCACTGTTTGTAATGTTTAAGATGGGATAATTTTGGGTTTTTTTTTTCTAATTGTGATTTGCAAATTGCAAGTGGTTTGTAGAATAATTTCATGTGCATACAACACAGGAATTTTAGCATCTCTATGATAATTTGCTGAAAACCAGATCCTTAGGGTTAAAGCAAGACAGCAATGCAAAAAAAAATCTATATACAGGTATACCTCGACTTATGTTGTTTCGAGTTACGTCATTCCTGATTATACGTCATTTGTCAAAAAATTATATGGAAAAATAAAAATCAAGTTTAAGTCATTTTATTCAACTTTATGTCTGTCCGCCACAAATATTGAAGTCGTAATATCACTAGAAAAGCGTTTAAAGCACATAAAATCATATTAAAATATATACATTTACAAGTATGTACTGTATTTACAGTATATGCATTCGTAAATTTAGATTACTTTTTTCTGTACTATGTTAAAAACTAAAATTTATTTGTTTGTAAGCTTAAAATAGATCCTTATTAACCATATATTATTAAAAATGCATTAATAAATAAAATACAGAACCGGGAATGGTAATTTATGGTTTAGCCTAGTGACAAGTAGATTCAAAGATAAGTAAATTTGACTTACGTCGTTTTTTGACTTACATTGCCTCTCCTGGAACCAATTACTGATGTAAGGCGAGGTATACCTGTATAACAAAGTAATTGCAGAGCTCTTAGTGATTAATCATGGTTGTCATATTCCTTTATGAATTCTACTAATGTTTGTTCTCATTAATATTCAAATGTAGGCACAACCTCCATGCTTGCATCATCTGTGGATACACCTGAGAATTCTGAAAAATTTTCCAGCACCCACACACAGTAAATCACTACAAGGAACAGAGAGAAATGGAAATGGATAACATGGCACAAAAGCGATGTAAATACAATGTTTTATATTTACAACATGGATTTACCTGTACTGGAGACAGTGAACATCCTCTTCTACAATGTGTTATCTTCTGCGAGGTTTTGTCAAACCATTCCATGAAACTGCCAATTATATTGTGACATCACACTAAATATTTGGAATTTGAGAATGAAGAGAATGAACTGACTGAGTTTTTTGAATGGAAATGCAAAGAATTGAAAATGAGGATAAGTTGTTTGCATCAGTATACATCATCAGAGTCAAACAAAGCAGTGCTAAAGGCATTCTATCTTTTCAGCTACCTTTTAACTAAATCAGCAAAGCCACACACATTAGCAGAATCCTTAATTATGCCTGCTGCAAAAGACATTGTGGAATGCATGCTGGGTGACAAAACTCAGAAGAAATTGGACCTCTCATCTGCCTCAAATGATTCTGTTTCACATTGTATTTGTGACATGATAGATAGTATTGAGAGCCAAATGGTGTTAATACTATGTGTTGCAAATTGATGAATTAACTGATGTACACATGGATTGGTACACATTCTAATTAGGTACGTTTCAAACAATTTCATTCAGGAATATCTCTTTTGTATTTTCTAATCTATCTTCTAATCTACTTTCTAATGAGATGTTCCTTTTAGGAATATCTCATTACAAAGTATTTCAAGAGGAAAAGATATTTTCTCTCATTGATAGTTGCATGTCCAAAAATGACATTGAGTGGTCCAAATATGTAAACATTTGCACAGATGAAGTAAATGCCATGACAGAAAGGCACAGCAGACTTGTCAGTCACATTCAAAAGGTAGCCCTGAAGCAAATTGGATACATTGTATTATTCACCAAAATGCATTGGACAACAAGAAAATACCTGTGAACTTGCTAACTGTTCTCAATGAAGTGGTCAGAATTGGTAAAGACTGAGCCTATGAATGCAAGGATATTTACTTCTATCTGCAATGAAATGGGTAACAGCATGCAATGGTGCTATTACACACAGAAATCTGCTGGCTCTCACAAGGTAAAATATTGACACACACAATATAATGATGTGATGAACTTTTTTTTTATTTTTGGAGCATCTTTTTGAGTTGGGGAATCATCTTCTAGAATCAATTTGGATCCAGAGAATTGCATATTTGGCAGATATTTTTTCTCACCTTAATGAATTAAATTTTGGCTTTTGGGATAGTTTTGCCACAGTATTCAACATACATGACAAAATCAAAGCTCTGATAAAAAAATTGAATTTCTGTGTGAACTATGCAGAGAAAGTGAAATTTGACTGCTTACCATATTGCATAGCTTTCTGTTCAGTACAGACACAGCTATTGACCCAAATGTGAAGGCTGATGTAATACAGAACTTGAGAATGATTGCCAGCAATTGTGTGAGTATTTCCTTGAATTATCTTGTGATCCATGCTTATGGGTACAGAATCCATTTTATTCTGATATGCCTAACCTGGGTCTGTCAGTTATCCAGCTGGAACAGCTTCTTGATACTTCATCACATTAATCTAAAAACTCATTTTACTGATACAAGTCCATTGCAGTTTTGGGCTGATTTGCTGAATTGGCTAAGCTTGTTGGGAAGTTCTATTTATTTATTTTACATATAATTGGAACTGTCAGTTGAAAAAGGATTTCCACCCCCAAATAACAATTTATCCCAAAATACAATTAAATTAAAAATAACAATTATAAAAAAACAAACAAATTTTAAAAAATTTTAAAAAGAAATACACAAATAATAAAAGGAAATAAAAATCATACAATATGAATAATTCTGATCTCTTTTGTAACTTCCTACCTTTGTGAGTCAAATTTTTCTGTGTTGACATCTTTGAGTTAGATGAAAGTTGAGACCAGATATGAAAAGCTTAGAGCCAGAGGCCTCAATTAACTAAAGGTATCCCTTGCTTAATGAAGGATTTGATTAACACAAGAAATTAATTGCAATGATTTCTTTATATGTGTGGCAGAAATTTTAATTAATTAATTAATTAATGTGGCTTTAACAACTGTCTTTACTTAGCATAGATATGTTTTTTCTCAGTAATAATGTGTTAGTGAATTTGCTATTTTTGGGCTGAGGGTGATTTCCGATATAGATATGTAATGTAATTATGAAAGTTGTGAAATGTAACATGTTACTGCTAATGTGATATTGTAGGCCTATTCTTTGATTAGAAGCTTATTTTAAAACTTTACTTCACATTTTGTTTGCATAAAATCAAATTGAAATGTTTGCAGATAAAATGTATATGAGGCATATTATGTATGCTTTTTAAATTTCATAAAGGATATAATGCTATATAATTAATGAAAAATACTTGTAGTATATGGGAAAGATGCTCCTATATGTTGAACATGTCAAATGTGATTTTGTTCAGGAAATTTTGAACTAAAGGATACAAAATGTATGGAGCACCCAAAAACTGTTGACAAAGAGACATTTCAGGAAGAAAGCATTAAAAATCACCAAATAACAACAACTCGTGAACTTGTAACAAAGTGTGTCACTGGACATGATGATTGTGATTTGCATGCATTAAGTGAAAGAAAAACAAACTGGATCAAGTATAATTTTGTCTGATGAAGGTTAGGCAGCTCTAATGTTTCATTTTATTTTTAAAGTAGTTACACATTTTTATCATAGAAAATTTTTCTTATGGATGACAAAATTATAATAAAAATATTTGTTATTAACTGAAAATTTGTTCTAGCAGGTTGTGATTGTTTGGTCAAATACTGAGGAACCATTGTATTTGATTAAGGCAATTTTAAGGCAATTTTGATATATGCAGTAGGATTGAGGGATTAATTAATTGTGCTAATCAAGGGATACCTGTATATATGAAATTCTGGTCTGGACTGGAAGTCACATGATTTTTTAAAGTTCAAATATGATTAAAAATTGCAGTCTGGCATTGTGATGATGTCACAATAATATACATTCAATTTTTTCAAATACCTTTATTTCCAATTATCACTGTAAAAATTTACATTTCTAATAATTTTGGAAAAACATATTTCTATTTTAATAGAAAAATAATTTTAATACAATAACTACATTCTACATCATGTAAAAATAATAATTTTAATGGTGTTTTTGTGTATTATAGTTCCAAATAGATAAGTATAAATTAATAATCTCAGATATAATTTTAATTTTCTATAAAACAGTTTTAGAATAATAATTTTAAAATATCTGACTAACTTAATAAAATATTGAAATGAAAGCATTTTATTAATGAATTTTTAAAATATTTTGATCCTCTGAAATTCTAACAAAAATATAACAACGAATTTTTGGTTTTCCAATGATAATTAAAAATTATTTTATCAAAAAATATCGAAAATTATCGAAAGATAAAGTTAATTTTTTTCTTCATCATTAACTAATTTATTCCAATGATTCACTAACCATCTACTTAAATATGTATTATTACTGTTTTCATAAGATATGATAAACTACATAAGCTAATTAAGTCAATGAAAATTCCTTTTTTTCCTGTACATACAATTTATAAATTTTATTTTATCATATTATTATGGTATTGTTGAAAATTGTATGTTTTGACTTAGTTTAATACTACAGTTGTATTGTTAAGAAATAAACATTTAATAGAGACAAACATTTTTATTCAGAGTCTTAGTATAAATTCACTATTAAAATTATTCTGATGATGTTGCTTTAAAAGTATAATAAAGATATTTTTAATATTTTTGTTGTACTTCTAAATTATATATATATATATTTAAAACAAAAA